AAGTGCTTTAACAGAGCACTCGATATTTTGTTCTAAAGAAGCTTTCTATTTATTTCATGAAAAATTTCCAAAATTGTTTCGAGAAAAGCCGTCCATGTGATCATAATACTCAAAGGGTTAAATTAACAGATAATTCGAAACTCAAACCATGAACGTGCTGTCAGTTTCCTTGAGCGCTGGTGCACCAGTAGAAGAAAATGCGCAAATTCCTATGATGTAATCCTTGGATTGTAACAAGAATCCCTCAAATATTTCTTCACAGCCCATCTGTTGCGAAAAATATTTGAAAATAATTCATTTAGACTTGTTTTTATTGTCACTTAATTTTTCAGCAATAAAAAATGAAGACTGTCTCTTCCAAGTGGAATTCAATCTTCCCTCTGGTGGTGACGCAAACTTGATCGATAAACAGTTTGTTGTTCGCCTAACAGACTCCCGCAAGACTTTAAAACTCATCCTCGTTAGTCCAAGAAGGATACCTGAATTTAAACCACCTGACAATGACGAAACTTTTGATCTGAAAAAGCTAGAAGTCTTTATTCCATTTGGTGGGGCAGCAGGAGGGATGTTTCTCTTCTTTCTAGCAATTCTTATTTACGGTTATAAAACACGCCCAAAAGATAGCTACCACCGTGATCGGGATAATGAACTACATTTCAGGCATATCTTGTTTGTCGTCTGGTTTGTTGGAGTAAGACTTGTTAAGAGTTTCCTTTTAACACTGACTGCCCTGTTTGTAATTCTGACTGCTATTCACCATACGAATGTAAAGACACTCGAGAAATACAAGACCTTTCACGAGCAACAGGCAAAACTGGAAGAAAAGTTTCTTCAGGAGATGGACAAGCACAAAGCACAAGAAATAGATCGCCAATGGTCGCTTCTTAGTGAAGGAAAGGCAGCTTGTGAGAAAAATTTAAAGGCGCTGAACGTGTTCTTAGAGAAACATTTCAGAGAAATGAGAGAAAGACAGGAAGAAGAGATGAAGCGGAAATCTATCCTGTACGCGGCGGAGGATCGGATCAAGAAACAATTTTCTGCGTCAAAAGCAAAATTCGAAAAGGAGAGGAAGCGACTTAATGAGCGACTGGAGGCGTATAGTAATGAAATAAATACCAGGATCTCACAGATTCAAGCGAAAATAGAGAAAAGCTTTTGGTTGAAGGTTGCTAAAGGACTTTACAAGTCTTTGGATGGTCTATCGAGAGCTTTTGGTGGAGGAGGTATTAAAAAACCTTTTATCGAGTGGGTCGGGCTATCGGTCAATTTTCCGAGTGTAAAGGCAAAACTTCCATCGTTTGACGACATTTTCCAAACTTTCGACAGTGAACCACCCATCGCCCCAAAAAGAGCACAAGACATCAATCTCACTATGTGGCAGAGAAAAACTCAGATAAGCGCAAAAGTAAATATTCAGCAAGTATCAGCTCCAAACGTTAACATATCACGCAATCTACGTATAGAAAGAGCGGAAGAGTTGTTAGCTTTAGAATGGATCGTGCAGCTCTACAGGAACGGGATTTTCATATCTGTATTGATTGTTTTTGATGTTCTGTGGTTTGTTTATCGGCATTGTAGAACATACCAGTTGGCGATTGTGCTTCTACATGGCTTTCCGAAAGTGTTCAAGCTGGAAGAAATACAAAAAAAAGAGGAGAAAAAGGAGGCCAAGAAGAAGAGGAAGGAAGAAAAGGCAAGGATAGATAAACAAAAAAACGAAGCAAGAGGAAACGAAAAAGAGACAAAGGTTGATGAATTTAATATGAAGAATCCAAATCTCGAAGATTCTTCCCGCCCACCTCGATTTATTGACTCTTCCCAAGAAAGTCTATTGGATCAAAGTCAAGATTCGCTTCCAAATGTTAGAGGTGACCAACCTGACAAAGAGATAACTTTGCAAGAGTCAAAAAGCAAGAGAGCCACTCGACTTGGATTAAAGGGGCTTGACAATCTTAACAAGGTTTTTCTAAAGTTTCTGGTCAAACTCAAACAGCTTAATTATCAGGTAAGTAATTCATATCGGTGTATATATAATTATTATTATTTTATCTGTAGTCCCTTAAGGGAGCTTAATCCCCAAAATATGTAATGGTACTTTTTTTCATCTGCTGTAAACTTCTAAGCTCACTGCGTAAGCCCTTGCTCTCTGGCACGGCCTGGGAGTTGGTAACCAAATCAAGGGGTTACAAGCTCAAGACAGGAAACAAACTAACGTATTGATTCGTCATGATCAAAACTAATTTAATCTGCTGCGCATTGATTTCTTGACTTCGCACCCCCTTGCTCTCAAGAATCTTATTAACTTGTACCTTTGTTTCTCGTTATAGATCAACAACACAAATTTTGTTCCGATGTGTTTGCTGTTGGTAATTGCCATTTTGTCGGTATATGTTGTCATAATAACTGCTAAGCACTCCATGAACGTCGAAACTATGGAAATTGTTGGATATTTCGACCTTAAAATGGCACCGCTTCTGACCATGAGGAAGATTGTCAACACAAGAATAACATCAAATGCTTTTTTGGTTAATGACGTCCATATTCCGTACTACGAGAACAGGTAATTAATCATCTCCTCTCCAACCGTGAGGGATAAAAATGAAGATAGACCGTCCAAACTAACAGAGTTTTTCCCATAAAGTTGCATCGTTTTGCTTTTGTTCAAGTGTTGGAACTAAATTCTTTTTCCAAATTTAGTCGATTGAAATGGAAAAGTTGTTTGGAATCGATCAGTTTTTTATTCAAAATTGAACGGATTTTTCGATAATAAGTTCTCTTGACACCCGTTATGGCAGAGTGCTATGCGTTCTCTTTGTCGAAGAAGATGACTAGTTGCTCTTAATACTGAAAAAAAAAATGAAAAAATCAAATTAGATTTGTTAAGGGAAATATCATTGTTGAAAAAATGACAAAGGCGATGTATCATTTCTTAGTCAAACTTTGACATTGTCGTAAACAAAAACACTACAATTTTGAACACGGATGTTAGTCGGATTGTGGATGCAGCCTGGCACTCCTTCCCATGATGCAATCTGTCCCTTCCTCCGACCATCCAGCCATAAATCCTCGATCTGTACCGTTGTATGGTTCGAAAGTTTGTTCATTCGGCTCATTTTTATCTTCTTTTTTTTATACTTTTTCTTTTTCAGAGTGAATACAAGAATCTCGTTCTACAGAAAGAAGGCTGAAATGTACCAAGCGTATCAATGCGCAAAAGCTGACTTGCATAATGAAGAGTACTGCTCGTGGGCTCAGGAGCCTGGAATGGATTGTGATGGAGTGGGACCGTATAACAAGGACTTTTTAAACAAGCTGACGCAGTTTGAATGTAACTTAGAACCGGTTATTCCACAGAGGTGAGTTGCAATCCAATAATTTTCATGAATTTGGGTTGGAGAGCGCAAGTATTATCCTCGAGTTACTTTCAGTAAACTCTCGTTTCATGCCTTAATTCGTGTAAATAACAATTTTTTAGTTCATTAGCAACAACGTAGGGGATGGGGATTCAACGCCATCCAGGATAGCCACCGGAATGGCCATTGAGACTTGTTTCTTTTCTTTTTGTTGGAGTTTTCGCCAATTTTAGCAAATAAGTAGCGCTTTTATCTACATTCTTGTGGTTTGAAACAGTTTCAGTTTTATGAATGCAGCTTTTCGTTCATTTCAGTGGAAACCGCGAAGCTTCCTTTTATTTTTAATATTACGCCTCTTAACCCATTAGCCGTCCTCCACCAAACTGTACGAAATAAGTATGAGTGATGCAGAAATTAAAACGATGTTAAGACGACAGATACTATTGGAAGAGCAAGCTAATTTTTCACGTGCAATGTTTTTGTTTTTGTTTTTTTTTAGATTTACCAAGTTCGACCGTTTTCGTTACAAAGAAGTCCACAAAAAGGCTCTATCTCCTTATTTGGCAGCCCTTCGAGGAGTTATCTTGGACACGTTTTACATGTTTTTGGTTATCATTGGTATTGTCATCCTCTCCAAAGTACTGGAAATCGCATTGTTTTTCTTGCTTAAGAGATTCGATCTAGTACGCCAAGTTAAACACTATCAAACGCACCGAGACCTCAAGGGGGAGTTAAGTGTTCCACATTGTATCAAATATCCTTCAAATGAGAGCATCATTAGGCATGTGGGACCTCTTCACATGTCCAACGAGATGATAGCGACGTTTGGGTCGAACATCCACGAAGGAAAAAGTATCCTATGGATCAAGTGAAGAATAAAATCGTTTTGATCCCAATATTTCTGACCATGGACTACTTTTAAACTAGAGCTATTAAATGAAATATCGTGGTTGTAAATATTATTGAAATTTCTTCTTTTTAAAAAGCAATTGAAATGTAGTGTTAATCCTTGTCTATTTTTGATGACATCGCTAGGCAACGATTGACACTCTTTTCTAAAGAACGTTTGTATGGCAAAATCGTGCAATCCTGATTAAGTTGTCAAGTAGGTACATTTGGAGAAACTTAAAATGTCATTCCTAAAGACCCCGTGAAGAAAAAAAAATATCCTAAGCTTTAACCTGCAGGCCCGCATCTTGTATCAGAGCTCACAGATTATCAACGAATGGCACAAAAAACCCTTTCTGAAAGATGTGTTGAGTTTCGTGGAAAAATATTAATTGAAAATTGAAATTAGCAAGTGAACGGAAAATTAAGAAAGAAATAGAGAATAAACGAGTTGAATTGAATTGTAGTAAGGAACTATCCACACAAGTATCCATGGAAATAAGACGTTTAGCGGGTTGTCTATCTATGCAACATAGCCTTCTGTACTGAACTGTTTCATGCGAGAACTGGAAGCTGCGCTTTGGATGTGTCGTCCATTAGATAAAATTGACAATTTTACGACTAAAAATGGGTCATCATCACGAAACGCTGGCCTACACTCAAACCTTTGGTACTTCTATCAGAGATCATTTTTTTTGCTAAAAAATGTAAACAGTTAGGTGTAGTTCTTAGTAGATTGCTCTACAAAAGGGGTCTTCGTTAAACCCTTCTCGAACTTCTAAACGCATTCAGAAAGGATTTCAAAGCGTCTAAAAAGTCTTGCTTCATGAATGTACACAGAAGGGGATTACACAGCGCGCTCAAAAAGCGAAGGAAAATGATGACAGGGACAATTATGTTCTGTGCGCTTCGCTCTATGTTAAGAAGCCCTATTACTTCCAAATCGTCTATAATCGCCCATAAAAAATACAAAAACAGGCCAAATATGAAGACTGCGATCATTGCAATGAACAAGAAAGCAGTTTTTTTTTCATTCACTTTTCGTCTCCTTGCATTAAACTGTGACACCGTATGTCCAGACAAATCGCTGTGGATCTCCTTGCATTGCCAGCGAAGATGGATGAAAAGTTTCGTATAGATACTTATCATCAAGAAGAGGGGCACCATAACGAGGGCAATCATGTGAAAGAAGTCGTATCCTAGGTCAAAGCGGATCATTGTGTCATCATCCATTGTGGCGTGTAGAACCCAAGTTAGCTGCACCAATGAAGCCAGTAGTGAGAACACCCACGTGAATGCCAACGTCCAAGCGAGTCTTACTTTAGTGACGATGGACGGATATTGTAAGATCTTGATTATTCTAATATAACGGTCGACGGATAAGATAATAAGGTGGGCCACAGATGAGAAGGCCAGGAAACGATTTGAGATGTCCATGGCGATGCAGACATCCTGTATTAACGTCTCTGTGCACGCAATCACCATTGGCACTGCCACCACGCCAGTGAGAAGGTCACTTACTGCGAGACTGGCAAGAATTGTGTTGGAAGTGGTGCGGAGATGTCTTTTTTTCCAGATCAGCACCAGGATCAAGCTGTTAGCAGCAATGGCAGATATTGAAAGCAATCCAAAGAGAACTAATGCTCCTCTGTAGTCGCTTCTGTTCACATCTTCCTTGCCAAGGTTGTTTGTTGCGTTACTGCCATTTTTGTTATCCATGTTAATTATTTTATTTTTAACATTTATCTGTTCTCACCTTTGTACAGGTGTTTGTGCAAAATGAATTTGTTAAAATAGAAGCAACTTGAAATGGCTGCAGCAATGTTCTGTTAATGGCGTTGAATTTCTACCAGACCCGTCAAAGTCAACGTTTTTGCTTTTGTTATTAAGATTCTTGGTTTCCACTAAATTCAATTACAGCTTTGTGTCTCACCGCTATAAGGTTTAAATTGAAGAAGAAGTCATTAGTATACAACAACTTACGCCGAAAATTTGAATAATAATGTTAATTAAACAGATAGAGATGCACAACTTAAATTCTGCGATAATTGCTAAACCAAATGCTAAATATACAAACTAAAATAAAGGAAACATAAGTACTATTCGTCCGTACAGTTACATGTAAAAAGCAATTTTTCTACAGCTGTGTACCAGCTATCATCGATAGTTTAATAACAAATGATGCCTAGAAATTGTGTTCGATGCATGCGCACAATATCACGAAATTATGTATCATGCGAACTATAAATTACCTCGGATCAGCTTTTTGGCTTTTATACTGTAAAATAAATTACCCGAATCTCTCCACGAGTCTCCTTCGCTTTAAACGGCAGTCTTAGACTTCCTCTCAAACTTTCTTCCAAGCGCCATCCTAGGGTATCATAATTAAACGTCCCTTTTGCATTGTGTTTCGTGGCAAAGTTCTTAATAGATGCCAAGGGGATTGGAAGAGGTTTTGCAAGAATTCTAATTTGCGCAGAATAAAATTAGCCGTGGTGTTTCGTGTGAAGAATATTTTCAAGACTACAATTATAATTTTTTTGATAAATCAATAGTTCGCTTCAGTTTTAAGAAAGCTTAATTATACTTTTTTTTGGCTTTTTCCAGATGTAACTCCGTATTTTTTTTTTAATTCAGGACAAATACAAATACATCTAAGTTTAGTCTAAGGCTATTTCGTACCTTGACGAATAAAGCTGTACCTAACCTTTTCAAACTTTCCTTTCTGTAAAAATCCCTTGGTACACGTGAGACTGAATTGTAAAAAGAAGATTTTAATTGCGATTAATCTCTCTTGACCTGTTCAGTTATGACACACTATAAAAGACGAGGCTGGCGGTCAATGTAATTCCTGTGTTTAAAAATTGTGTCCAGTTTTGACCCAACAAATAAGAAGACCTGTATTCAAAGTTCGAACTGAGTTTAATAATGCACTTTTTCCTTAGAGAATCACATGGGAAGAATATTCTACATTTTTGCATGATTTAATTAGCGAAAAAAATATTAGAAAAAAAAAACTGAAAATAGGATATGAAAGAAAAAAAATATTTCTTCGCTGCAGTTTTGTGAAAATATATTCCTTGAGAAACTATTTACGCGCACAAAGTTTTCGCTGCACTTTTCACGTTGTCATCCAACTTGAAGGTAAATTCGGACTTACAAAGTTTTATTGTGGCTTTGCGTTCGTTTTGTTATAATTGTATGTTATTCATTCCACTAAAACACGGAAAAACCACTTACTAAAAATGTATCTGCACGACTGGCCAGCTTTGAAAACGAGGATTAATCGCGGCTAGACTTTGCCTTTAAGGTACCGTTCTGACCAGCTTCCTCCGACAAGAATTGCGATTAAAGCAAGGAAAAAACAAGGCTCCAGCAGCTTTATTCATTCTTGTACAAATCAAGCCTGATAGTTACGAATCAGTTAGTTTCCCTTTGTTTGTTTGTTTGTTTTGTTTCTGATACATTCCGGAAAATCGCGGTATCCCTGTCAACTGTTGTGAACTTTTAATTGTGATTAAATCAATACATCCTCTTATAGTATACAAGCCCTTCCGCTTAGTATCTGCCTAACCCCTTTCCCGTCTGTTTACTCTCTTGAAAGAAGATAGCTTTTTTTCATCGTAATTATACAAATTCATAGCAAGGGCAAGTTGGTTTCCAATTGTTTCTAAATATGAAAAGCAGAGGAGTTTGGCGAGTTTCTGAGAACGGAGTAGGTTCTCTAAGATTTCGTGTGTGCCCTCCGCACAGTACGAAATAGTACAAAATCTCAATAACCACATTCCATACAAGGAAATAATACTATGACGCAAAGAAAAAAAATTGATCCTTCAAATTCTAACACAATCCTCTATCTCTTTGGAAAAGTGTCGATTTCTGAAGATACGTTGAACAATAACTGAATCATGCAAAACCGTTTAAAAACGGCGGATAACCTTAAATTTCCCCGGTGGTGTAGGAAGACTTAACATAAATTACTATCAAAGGTGCTGAACCTTTTTTGGCACCAGTTGAGCTAAAAGTCGTATGATCGAACTGGAATTATAATGGAATTGTTAACTGGATTCTCCGCGACTCTTATGGCCGCAGCTAAATATGTTTCTTAACGTGGTTATTTTGTTTCTTCGTACAATGGGCGATATTGTATTAGCCAAGTTTATGCATAAATTTGCGTGAGTTTGCATAGAAATTAAGATGCGAACAGCCTAGGGAAGTTGAATGTGCATTCATTCAACATTTATGCCAGTCAAATTTAACTCCAACTTCCTTCGACTTTTTACTCCTTATTTGCTTTGCAAACTCCACGCACATTTCCTTATTAACTATGTAAATAAAATGTTGTCATTAGCCTGCTGATTCTAAGACTTGTACGTAGGTTTCTCCTATGAAACAAAATAACCACGCTAAAACAAGAGATGACAACTTGTCAACGAGCAAGACTTGCTGACGCAAAAATTAGGAAACTGCGTCGAATTTTCAATTAGTGCATGTGCTTTATGAATCATTTAAGCGACAACATGAACACTTGGAATTTGGTGTTACCCCGTAGATCAAAATATTTGAGACGATAAACACCAGTGTATAAGAAGCTGATGAAGAGGGAACTAGTTTTCTTAGTTTTCGATCAATAAGTTATCCTGAATTTTAATAAAAACGCACTCGTAAGCTAAATATGCGATGCATGTGAGAAAGCTTTTCATGCGAAACTGCTGATGTTTTTTTTTTAATCAATCTGGGATCCACTTTAGAAATTATTCATTGGATTCTTCGCTAGTCTCAGACCGTAATGCAAAGTGTTTCAGTTTGGAAATTTTGTCTTGCAGAATGAATGAAGCGTACTTTTCCTTTTTTAAGTATGAGCAGAAGCGAATGATTGGTCCTCGCACAAGTATGTATTTATTCATGAAAGGGTCCGTGTTAGGTTACGCAAGGAACCGTTGCAAATTTGAACCCGTGATAAGGAATAGAATGGGGAAAAACCTTGGTCGATTTAAAAAGCTAAATATTCCGAAAATATGAACATTTTACACGTAGGATTAATAAAACTTAGTCACTCCCTGTGTGTCCGTTGTGGAGTCTGTGACAGGAACAACAGTCTCTATATTCCTGAATCATCTTTCCCTTGTGGATTAAGGTACTCACAGATATGTGGGATGCAGCAGTTTTTCTGTTTTGCATGTGAATAAAGATCTTCCGCGACACTACCTTATAAGGAAGTAAGCGTTAGCAACAACCCAAAACAAGATGGCGGATTAAAAATGGCAGCTGCTTAGTAAGGCTTGTGTGAGATCATAACTTTTAAGCTGGGCAGCGGCGTTCATGATAACGTTGTGAAAAACGCGGTGTTCTAGCAATGATAATCGAACCTCGATACACTTACTATTACCAAAATTTAAGGGACCTTTCGAGGTTTCATGCGGGGAAATACAACTCCTGATAACTACTATAATCTCCCATATGTTCTCTGTAAATTACCATCAAGTGCCACTACAAATCCTTCGATCTCTGCCTGAGTAACAAACGAGTCCAAAAAGTGATCTTCGCATTCTCTCCTTCGAAGGTTGTCCTCTCGCAATAGCCTGTTTTGAATCAAATTCTCATAGTTTGGAGCGGGAAATTTTTCTCCTAAACTGCGTACTTTTCCTTTTTTAAGTATGAGCAGGCAAGCCAAATATTAAGCTTTAAAGACGGCGAAAATCTCGCGCAAATCCAAGCAAAATAACTCCCAAAAGAAGGAAATCTGTCAGCCATTTTGAACAAAGCAACCAGGCCTGTAAACAGTGCAAAAATGGACCCAAGAGGGGTAGGGAAGAAGCGGTGAACTAATTTATAACTTTTATATAATTTGTTGGGAAGTAAAAACGTATTTGTGATGACATTTCGTTCCGAACATAACAAGTAGGTATGCTGAATGCTGCATGTGGAAAATAGAAAAACAAAGAAATGTCTATACATGTAGTATTAAAAAACGCAAAGTTCAATATCGGCTGAAGAAAATCTATCTAATTAAGCATAATCGATTATGTCCTGTGAACGCTTGACAACACGCCTCGCCATTATGGATATATTTGAGCATGTGCCTGCGAGTTTCCGCTGGATTGCCTCTCAAAATATATCGTGGGAGCAAAATGTCACCAGTTGTAGCTATCAAGAAAGAACCTGGGTACTAGGCTGTAATCATAGTGATGCCTATGAACACTCACGCTGTTCGAATTGGCGACCAAATTAGTACCAGAGTTATCACTGTTGTGAGCAGATTTGTGATCAAGACTGATACAAAACCTTAGATTTCGCGTCTACCCAGCAAACCCTATGGCTAGCCAATGTGATAATGCCATCTCAATCGGTAAGCTGAATTGAATGTTGTATTGAATTTACCGAAGAGAATATTCTAAGCGGAAGCTGTTGAAAGGTGGGCAAACTTTAACGTACTGTTGCCGTAAATTCCCGCATCTTTCTTGTGTTACGAAGTACGTAATAGACTTGTTCGGGCAATTAATCGATCCTAAGTCTCCAAAGATTCCTTCGGAAAATCAGATGAACTCGTTACTCTTGGAGCGAGTTTTCTCAAAGCCAAAATAGCAAAGCGGCACGGTTTACTGACCAACTTCTGCATTGTAGATCAATGCTTTTATAAAAAACCGGGATCTTCTCCGATTTCTTTTCCTCGTCGGCCGAGGATCTTAATTTCTTCATCAGATTTGCAATCAATAACAATTTTAAAACGTAGATAGTGTATATTTTGCTTAGGAATGATTACTCCGAAGTTCTGAGAATTTCGCGGTAGTGATTTCTGAGAATTAGAAAACATGACATAAAATATTATTCTCAAACTCGATTCAAAGTCATAGTTTTTCCTCTGAAATGAAAAACCGATAGCGAGTTATCATGATAGAGAAGCATTACATTGTTTGTTGTTTGTTCACTGATAAATTACCCAATCTAACGATGGGTGAGTACAACGTCACTAGTTATTCAATTCAGTTGAGAAGATTTCGAAATGCATTGGCGCGTGACAGTTGTTAACCTTGATGTTACAATTTTCTCTCTGTTTTTCGAAGTTATAGCTTCAACAGAAGTCACAGCGATAACAAATCGAGAATATTTTACTAAAATCATGTCGTTCAGTCGAATCGTAATTAACAACAAGACCAGATTTCGTGACACTTCTTTAGTGCAGCGACATAATAAAATCAACTCGGTCAAATCATTAGAGCTCACCTACAAACACGATCATAAGACATGAACCTAACGCCAAAAAATGTAATAAAATCTGATTAGAAAGAGACGGAACTACTAGCACTTGTGTAGGAAAAGCACAATGTTGCAGAGTGAGACACTTTATGTTTGCTTGAAGCTATAGCAACCCTTTGCACCCTAACATCAGTGAACGTATTTTCCATACTGTTCCCCATATATTCCCTAAGGTGCTGACAAGGAAAATTTGTGCAACAATCAACAGCTTCTTTTGCTGCTTATAATCGTTTTTATTCTCATGACCTTACTACATGATTTAGGGATGATACTGTTAGGAGAAATTAGATGCTAGTCACTCTTAGAGGTTAGGGATGAGTTAAATGGTGAAAGGAATCTATTTACCTTCGGATGTCTTTGGATTTGTGGAGATTGGGTGGATTCACGCAGTTCCCTAGGCGTTTTTTTTTATTATTTTTCCTAAAGATTTTAAATAGACAATTGAAATTCACGATAGCTATCACTCAGATGTTAGTCATTGTCACTAAAGTTTTGTGGAGATTGAAGGGTTTTATAGATGTTTAGGTAGAAGCGACTTATGCCTCAGCATTTATCCTTCTGTTAAACTCCTACGAAATGCTTAAAACTCTTAATTAGCATAACACAATTTTAGATACCTTCAACTGCATCTGAACCTGTATATTAGATAGCAAGCGATCCATACATGATTAGATATATAGATATCTATATCTTTTTTTTTTTTTAATTTTGTAAATTCGTTGGGTTTTCTTCCAAAGCAAGTCTCTGAGAGTGACAAATGTACATTTTTTCCTTCCTTTTAGAATCTTTGTTCTCTGCTTTCATGAAACTTAGGCCGGAAGCAGTGGAAAAGATAACCGTGAGGTTAGACATGGAAATAACAAGGGCGGTGAAAAATTGGAGGCATTTTGCAAGAGAGTTAAAAGTTGCACCAGAAGTTATAGAAAGTCTGAAGTGGTACGGTACCTTTAGTCCAACCGCGAACGTTTTTGATAACTTGGAGTTTACAAAACCAGACCTTACAATTTCGACGTTGAAGGAGGTTTTCACAAATATCGGAAGGAACGATTTGAAACAACTGCTGGATCGAGGTATTGTGTAAAAACTGTGCTTCTTCTTTTATCCGCAAACACATTAGTGACACATTAAACTCTTCACACTTTTCTCTTTTCTCTTCAGATTGAAGTTTACGATAGTCACAACCCCGTAAATGAAAGCTATTAAAAAAATGTTTTCGATAACCATTTCATAACATCATTTTTTTCAAAGTTTTTAAAGCAGAAGACGACGGGGAGAAAGTAACAACTGTCTTAGATAAAGTCCCCTTGACTGATATCGCACTGGGACTTGACAGATTTAAAGGACCCACGGCAAACTGGGAAGACTTTGCCATGCACAAAATGATTGGTGTAGCCAAAAACAGAGGCGAGGTACACCAGTTTGGATCACCTCAATTAGAAGATCCAACAGCACAGCTTTTCCAGTATCTGGAGACGAAAAGACGCCGGTTGACACTGGGAGAACTGTACGACGTACTCAGCTCTGATTCAGTTAAGAGACCTCGCACTGCAAAACGCCTGATAGATCCAAATGGTATGTGTTATGTGCCTTATTTCGTAACCAGGATTAAGACCGAGGGTCTGACAGATACACGGTTCCATTTTTAGTTCTTCTTATGTATCTAAAAACTACCTTACAGCAAAACTTTTTCAAGCTTGGTGTGAAATTCCTCTCACCCTCTCAGCTTCTGGGTTTTTTAAACTATTTTTGTAATTGACCTGATACACCGGAAAAACCAAGTGTCTTTTCCCATACACTTACACATACACTCCATGTTGCTGTTCGTCTGTCCTGTAATCGATCACAGATGACGTCAAAGTATGGAAAGAACATCATTGACGCATTCGACTGCAAGGCGTGTGCCACTCTATTGTGATCTATTAATGAACAGACCCACAGCAACATAGAATCTATTTGATTTACACAATTAAGTAGCAAAGTGATGTTAATGGTGACGTAATTTTTGCATCTCTTCTTCATCTTCGATCAGTTGGTGGTGAGAAGAAATTAAAATGAGTGTATTATTAGGACACGCAGGGACAGGCATCTTTCACCCTCTTTATGAAAATTTGATTGCCGCCCTCAGTCTCTGAGAACGGTTTTTTTCTAGGCACACGATCTCGATAATATATCAGTCAGAGGTCATCTACAGGGCCTGATAAGCATCAATTATTTCAGTTGAAGAGTCTTCTTGGCGTAGTCGATTGGTGAAAACGGTTATAGCACCAGAATCAGACCTACTCCGGGGGATATCTAGTGATCTTAACAGGAAAGTTCCTGGAACGGGTGACTGGAAAACAGTGGCATGGAGATTTAACATACCATATGAAAATTATATTCAATTTGAAAATCGTAAAGAAAAACGGAGCCCTACAAGAGAAGTCTTGGACAGAGTTCTTTCTGATCGACCTCAAATCGCCATACTTGAGATTGTGCAAGCACTAGGAAACATTGAACGTCAAGATGTCATTGAAGTTATTAAAGAAGAACTAGGTAGGAAAAATTTGATGCAATCACTTCAACAAATGGATATATTTTCCTGAATATCTCACAATAAGTTTTTTTGCCTTGCTTTGTTAAAGAGGTCAGGTTGGAAACACCATTCGCCGAGGATGGCAATAACGATAACGATGACAATAATGATGACGATAGTGATGACAATAACGATGACCATAACGATGACAATAACGATGACGATAACGATGAAAATAACGATGAAGATAGCAATCACGATAACAATTACGATAACGATGACGATAACAGTGACGATAGCAATGACAATAACGATGACGATAACAATGATGATAACGATGACGATTACAGTGACGGTAACAATGACATTCACGATGAGGAGAACCACAACAATAACGATGACGATAACAATTATGATGACGATAACGATGATAATAACGAAGACGATAACAACGACGATAACGAGGACGATAACAGTGACGATAACAATGACAATAACGATGACGATAACGACAACGATGACGATAACTATGACGATAACAATGACGATAACGATGACGATTAAGATGATGATAACGCTGACAATAACGATGACGATAACGATAACAATGACAATAACGATGACGATAACGATGACGATAACGATGAAGATAACGACGACGATAACGACAACGATGACGTTGGTGTTGATAATGACGACCTTGTTAATCATTTTTAGCCCTGTTGAAAAACCTCAAGCGTCTCGCTGTAAGTTTCTGCTTTCTTACATGGAGCCCTACAGAATTTAGGCATCCACGGGTGTAAATCTTTTGCATGATTATAATTTTTAATATCAACACCATCGAAACTAATCATTTACATGTTTTCATTAGGTGTGGAAGATTTGACTCAAGCCATGAGAAATCTTATAAGAGATAAAGGTCAGAAAAACTGAATTTACAAGAGAGAGGAAAATTGATATGAAACATTTTCGAAAGAAAGCTTGGCAACTTTTAAATTGAATGTCCTCATTTGACTATCCAAACAGAGATATTCCCCTCTCCTCCTCTCTTCTATTTTCCTTATTCTATGCGTCATGAAATTAGGTCGTTTTTAAGTATTAGTGTAAATTTGAATGGGTTAATCATCTAGTTTGCCTGTTTTCGCCATCTCTTACCCAAGTCATTGCTGATAAAGGGATTTTTAGGCAAATGTTGCTCATAGTTATATGAGGAGCATTGCGACATGAGATTTTGAGGGATAAGAGTAAATACTACCAGCAATTATGAACGATAATTCAAGTTAAGCACTGTATCTTTTCAGTTTTCAATAATCATTATTTTTCTGCTGCCTCCTACTTACATAGTAGCTGAAATATTTCAAAATTTGTAAAAGAGCGGTATGAATTATGAACGAATCAAACATCTTGGGAAATGAAAATTTTCAACCCCCCTTCAAATTTTGCATGCAGTTAGGCGCTCTGGGGGATACACAAAAATGCTCTTTTTAAAGGGCGTAGCACTCTTGTTGCCATGGTAACAACGGCTGCTTGTTCGAGGCCTGGGGCCTCATTTTCATACAAAAACGTCGCAAAAAAAGAGTGAAATGTTTATTTCTCTATCTCAAGCTAAATACAACATCACAAATTGGCACTTCTACCATACATAGTAACATCATTCATCTTCACATTGATACAGTCAATTTTCCCTGGGAGTGAAGTTGAACACACTAACAGGTTATTCATTTCGATACAGTTCCGGTCATCTTTGTTGTCGGGTAAAACAGGGAAAACGTTTATCTGAATTTCTCCAAAAGTACACCGATTCTGGAACTGAAACTGACCACATAGCTGGTTATAATATTCTAGTTTTTAAAAATGTTAAAATCTCTGCGGGCCTGCCTCTACTTTCCATAGGAGCAATTCGCGAACGAAGCTCAAAAATCAGATATTGCGTAATTTGGCGATGTTTACATCGAATGTTCTCGACAACAAATGTTTCAGAAAAATGAAACATGTAAAGCTTTGAAGGAATGTCATCTTATGAGCAATATCCCGAAGAGAAATCTCGCCTCTGCTTGTCATCTTTTAAAAAAAAAATGATCAACCTTCATGGAGGACTACTCGACGTAACTACAAACATAACACTCGTAAACACTGAGAATCTGAGAGTATCAATCGTAACCTGTCAGCGGCAGTACTACATGTAAAACCCAGTTGTAACAATAGCAATTTGAACGACATAGGCATCTCCCTACAAAGAGCAGATTTGGGCAGTTATCATTTCCTTGTGACAGGAACTAAGATAATTCGAATCATCTGAAAACTGTCAGAAAACTGTTAGAAAATTTGCATAAGGTATGATGAGGAGAGACTTATCACCGCCGCAGTGCAATCGAGTCAATCAATGTTTCCTTCTATGTCTTCTTAGAGAAAGTATCATAACAAAGTTCGAAATAAAAGATTGAATGAAATCATAATGTCATAATTCCACCTTTCAAACAACTTATTATCCACACGCAAATCGCAACTCGTAACTTGAACGAAACTCCCCATGGTTAATATGTAATCTGGATTGCTTCAGGACCTTCAGGAAAAAGAATTGCGATTTCATCACCATTATTTTCCATACTTTTCTCCCGGATATCTTTTACAAGCTTACAGAAAGATGAATATAGCGCAATCTCCCAGTGATTTACACGAGAGGAAGACAAAGGTCTCTCTAATTTTCCCCTGAGGTGGCCGGCTCACCAGGTAGAAACAGGAGATCGTTCGGTCCAATAACGTTAGTCTGTGGAGATTATCAATCTAATAACCGAGAAGAATGTGCCCTTTTGTTCATCAGTGACAGCATTAATTATTTCAAACATGTATTTCTCGGTCCAAGCGACAAAAAAAATAGTTCCTTTGTAATTTTGTAAGCACTTCCTATAGCATTTTATTGTCAAGGAAATTAATCTCAAGGTTCAAAGCCAATATAACGTTCGAGCACGAGAAAGACTCCCTGAAAAAAAAGCTAAATTTCTGGAAATTGGTTGTGATGAAATCCCTGTTCCATTTGCTGTACTGCAAGGATACTGAGTAGTTCAAAATCTCCACTTTATGATGATTTTCGCGCGCGTCGTACAAATTGCTATTACTGGCGACTGGGTTTTACATGTAGTACTGCCGCTGACAAGTTGCAATTTCTGCTTTCAGGTTCTCACTGTTTACGAGCGTTCAATCGAGGGTTTTTTCATTTTTTTTTTGGTTGTTTTTACTTAGAATGCGCGGAAATCAGCTGATATACCGAAAAATGTCCATTTCTCGTCTTCTTTGGGACGGACGATGGAAACTTCATAGAGAAATACAGCGTCACGCCATCGTGACAACGTACAAGTTTATGACAAATGACCGGTGTGAGGATAGTTTCGTCTTCATCATGTTTCAAATGACATACAAGTATAACAGTGTACCTTCAGAGGACTTCAGATCGCTCAAATTCCCATGAAAGAAGGTGCAGCAATCGGAATCTGGATGATATGTACGCGATTTGAGGTATTTACGCGATTTGCGTTTTTGTATGAAAATGAGGCCCCAGGCCTCGAACAAGCAGCCGTTGTTACCATGGCAACAAGAGTGCTGCGCCCTTTAAAAAGAGCATTTTTGTGCATCCCCCCAGAGCGCCTAACTGCATGCAAAATTTGAAGGGGGGTTGAAAATTTTCATTTCCCAAGATGTTTGATTCTTACAGAGACTTATTAATAACAGTTATATTCGGGGAGAATGATGTGAACATTCTAGCAACTTTCCCCCAATATTTGCATTTAGAGGATGCAGCAGTAATTTTGCCCGACTCGTCTGTTTCTCCTGGACCGTCTGGGTCAGATGAACCATCTGGTTCAACCGCACCTGTAGGGCCGACTTGGTCAAATGGTCAAGAAAACCAGCCTCAAGTGTTCTTGTCGTATCAGTGGGATATACAGGCTAAAGTCATAGAGCTAAAAAGAAAACTTGAGCTGAAGGGATTAACTTGCTGGATGGATAGAGATAGAATGGGCCCTGGAGACGAATTGAAAGGGGAGATTGAACATGGAATATCACATTGCAAGGTACAGACAACATTTTCTTAAGTCTCTGAAGGAAACAAAATTGGTTAATTGGTTTACCTGTCCGTCCCTATAGCCAAGCTATACTGAGAGAAATGTAAAAGAGTAAAAACCTTGAAAATACATGACGTTCAGCTTAGATTTGTAAGCTCAGCTACTACACGGATCACGACACTTGACGAAATTTTTGACCAACCGTTCCAAACCTATATTTTAATAAAGAACGAAAAAAAAAATACAAATACAAAAAAAAAAAAACCATAAAAGAAAGATTAAGAAAACAAAGCGCCCAAGATTCCTCATTGAAACGCCGGCTAGTTTAAAAATCGGTTGTTGTATAGCTCTTTAACACGTCCATATTTGTTTCGATCATCAGGTTTTTATCAGTTGCATGACAAAGAAATACTGCACCTCGGAAATGTGCCAACGTGAAGCCAATTTAGCCTGCAATAGGAAGAAGCACATCATACCTATGTTGTTTGAAAAATTTGATTCTTGGCCGCCACATGGCAGCCTTGGTATGGTCTTTCCCGATACTCTTTACCTCAGGCTACCAGGTGGCATCCTCACCAACGAAAAGTTCGAAGAACTTTTGAAGAAAATTATGGAGTTTGTTCCACCCCAGAACGAATAATGCTTTGCATTACAAGGAAGACACCAAAGGAAAGATGTGATTGATGACTTTGCTAATCTGTAGCACTCTACGTCTTTTGGATTAGTTTTTTTTTTCCAATATTTACCTCATTTGCAACTGCTTTTTTGCCTTCTTTTAATCAAAGATATGAACTTAAATTTAACCCAATCTGCAAGATTTTCAAGCGATGTTTGCGAGAAAGCGATAAGTGATTAAGCAGCGAAAAGACGGCTCTAAATCCATGGCAGCTTCGTCGTTCGTCGACCACATCACGATCTGTGTATTTGCCCATAGAAATTCTGTCTGCACGTCACGGCGTTTGTTTCCAAGGTTATATTTGGATTGGAGCCTTACGATTCTTGAGGCCTCCCAAAAATGTTTTCTTGCGAAAGAACACTTCAGGATGAAGGACAAAAATTAGGCCCTGAGTAAACTAACACGTTTTCATGTCTCTGTTTCCGTATAGGCGAAAACTTGGCAAGATATATCTGCCCGCACCAACGTTTTCGCAGCATCTTCACTAATCCACATTAAAACGGTCGAAAATGTTAAAATAGGATGGACCTGGAATTCCGCATACGTAAGAGCAGTTACATCCGTTAATTTTTTTCATCACCCTTTTTAAAAGCCTTCGTTTTCACTCGCCCACACCAAAACGGAGGGTTTTAAAAACGATGCATATTCAAAAGATTCCACACAAGTAACCGTTTTCGAGAGTTTTTTTTCTCATCAACGTTTTGGGGCGTTTTGATATGGATGACCGTAGAAAACGAAACAAAAAGGTTGCGTTTTCAAACGAAAACGCAGTAGTTTGGTAGGAGGCTCAGCTACAATGACAGTTTTGAGCAGTTTGGGAACCAGAACTAAAGAATTAAATCACTTATCAAGTTTTTCTTACTGTATATCACAGATGGCTTAATCACTACATCAGTTTAGAAATAATCATGATACTTCGATAGCCAACTTGTTTTTTGTCTGTACGAAAGAAAATAGTTTGCTTCAGTTGAGAAAACAATTGTGGATAAGTGCAATAGAAGGGCATCCGTTTGATAATTAAACGATTTTTTTAATAATTTCTTGCAAATATATCTTTTACGTATTTCCTCGATATCTTACCCCCTCATCGCTTAATCTGTTGTGGCTGTTGCTTAACTTGTTTGTTATGTGCCATGTTTTTTACGTGTTCCTTAGATTCAAATCCAAACCAAACCAAACAAAGGTAAAGATTGTCGATCGAAATCGCAGTGCGCCAACTTTTACCGGACTGTGCATTAACTTCTACTTTGATATCCAGGTTCTTTAAAGAGTGACTAAGGGTCTGCAAGTTCAAGTTATTACAAATCAGCCTGCTGATTATCACCATTATCACAATGCTTAGCTGTAATTACTGTGCATGTTATTCCCATAGCAACAACCACATGAGTCAAGTGAAGCAATGTTCCACTAAGGTCGTTACTTTACTTGATTTTCAATCTGCAGCTCAAATGAAATTTATTTAATTAAAAATTGTAAACAAAGGTGTGGGCTTAAACAGTTTCGCCGCCTTCTACTTATAACTTTTTTTTTAAGGTATCCTTGTGAAAAAAGATTGGTTCCTGTGTCGTTTTGGTTGCCTAAATAAATGGAAGCGAATTTTCTTAGGGTGGAAAATTTAGGCCGGATAGTAACATCTATTTCATGACCGATCATAAGCATTTATATCCAATACGTAAATGAAAGACTAATAGATAACTACTTTTCATCCGCCCAGCATGTCTGACGGTTTTAATGCTTTTTGAATCGATTTCTTCGTTCAAAGCATCAAGTCCTGAGGGCAAAGGCCTTGCAATATTTTTGATCGAGAGCCCTCTTTGTATTTGAGGTTGCTTTTATGATAAGTTTCCCCGGGAAAATTTAGGAAATGAATGAGTTGTTAGTAAGCGGATCCTTATGTTTGCGCACAGATTTCTGAGTTCGCCACGTGGCAAACACTGCAATTCACTAGAAGGAAATATATGGCGAGAGCATATCAAACTTATCCTATAGAAAACTGAACATTTGCTTAAATTGGTCCCAAGCCTCCGTATTACTCACCTGACATGCGCAGAGCAATTAAATATGCAAAGAGCGCCACTGTTAAAAATGGCGGCCAACAGAGTGAAGCGGGAGCGTAAGACTCCGAAGAGATTTATTGACGAATTTGCAGAAGCTAAGACCTAGCAATGCAAGAAAATAAAAACTACGGATAATAATATTTATCCTGTAGAGATAATACAGGTCGACAAAGCGAGAAACACGGTCAAAATTCATTTCAAAGGGTACAGCGAGAAATTTGAGGAATGGAGGCCATGCGATGAACATAATTTGCTCGTAATGCGATTGGAACCGATGTTAAAATCAACCGATGATTCCTTCAGCGATCGCCTGCGAACTTTTTATGAACGCGTTTACAGGGAGATCAAGCGAAAGTTGTACTCCGGGCGCAGAGAGGATCTAGAAGTTCGTATTGAAATTCAAGTCGATGACGACGTTTTCTATAAAAGTCTTGGAAGGATTTTATCCAAAAAATATCAGAGGAATAAACTAATATATGAAATTCTTTCAAATGAAACTCTGGATTGTTATATCGGCACAAAGTGGAATGCGCGGATCATGAATGAAAACGGCGATTTTGCTTATGTTGTACCAGGGACTGTGAGATTTTGGTTGACAAAAAGAAACCCCATAGTGGAATTTAAATTAATTGGCGTTAAATACGTGAGATCTGAAATCGAAGATGGGCATCAAGTCGTTTTTACATTTGGCCGTGGAGATGGCAACAGACGTGGGTACAAAAATATGGTCCATCATTAATATATTTGATTTAGCACATGTTTATTGATTTTGATAGTTGATGTCAAAGAATTATTTTACTTGCATGTGAATTACCTTCATAAAATGTAAACATGTGATTATAAATGACCCATATATTTCAGTCTGTGATTCTGTTGTAATCAATGCAGTAACATTTTTGAAAAAGACTCCTTGAATGCTGTATACAAGAAACATTTCACAGGCATAGCAAATTATTCTACACAACTTCTACTAACAGTTTTTGGTAATACACTCCTTTAATACATTGATATATTATATGATTACTGATTGATTAAATCACATCTTGGCTTCCATTTACCATCTATTTTAACAAGATGTGCACAGAAAGTGGGAGCATTGCATTTGCTGCATTTTGCGGTACATGTTTTGATGGTATGGCCAGAAGTTGAACAGTTTCCACAGTTGTAGCTTTCCTTCACCCTTTCCAAATCAGCAGCTTCCAAAAGCTGTATTCTGTGTTTTTTCCAGAAAAGTTGCTTTAGAGCAGAAACCCCTCTATGATTAGATGACCTAAAGTAGTCCTTTCATACAGTGTCATTGTACTTCTCCATGCCTTGCTGAGTGTCATAAGCTAAATTTTGGTAGAGCTTTAAAAATTCAGGTACATGAGCATACAAAGAATGCATATATGGTGTTACATCTTTTGCTTGGTAAAGGTCTAAGAATTTTTGAAACCATTATTTGATTTTGTCTTTGAGGCTAGAGATAGCATCATCTGTAGTGTAATTAAGTTTAAGATCACCCATAATATCTATGAAATTACCCCAAAGGGTTTGCAGCTTGTCCACATTATGAAACTCTGGTAATATTATTTATATTATTGAATCTTTATTAAGTCATAAGATAAATAATCACATATCCTATGTTACAACATTAAAAGAAGGCATATATATAAATTACAGAGAAAATCAAGATAAAAATTATAAGACTAGATTATGTTTAAAAATTAAGCGATTAACAAACGTGTTTTTGAACCTATCAGTGTTTATTTTAGGATGGTGACTTGTCTCTTTCCTCAGATTGTACTTGGTTAATTTCTTTTTTGGCATTATAGCTCTTAAAGGGTGTATTGTATTATTAAAAACATTCTTGAAGATACGCGTGTCCTGTTGAACTAACAATTCATAAACATTAATGTGATCGGATGTATACTTGCGCTTATAACATCGATCTAACAAACATTGGATTGTTGTTAATTCGGAATTTACAGCGCCAAATACGGACAGCCCGTATAATATATTTGGTAGAACCAGATTTAGAAACAGATGGTCTATTTCGGCCTGATTGTACCCTTCTTTCCTTAAAGATCTTAAAATGAACAGGCACTTGTTTGCTTTAATTAGTTTTTCCCGAATATGTGTTATGAACCTACTGTCTTCCTGAAATGTTACCCCTAAAATAGTAAGCTCTTTTGTCTGTGGTATTCCAGACACCATCGGAAACTCTATTGTACAACCTTTCTTGCGGAAAATGATTTCCTTGCACTTAGATGGATTGCTACACATACCATTACTTCTAGACCACTGGGAAAACTGATTAATCAGTGCGATAGAATTGTCATTATCACCTATCACAGGCGAGATAATGGTTGTATCATCTGCATATTTTACCAGCACGCTCTTATTGTCCAAGTGTATCTCTAAATCACTGAGAAAGACATTGAACAAGTGCGGCCCGCTGACACTTCCTTGGGTGGTACCTTTGTTGACACTTTTCCATTTTCCAATAAACCCATTTCTAATGACTCTCTGCTGCCTGTCTTCCAAAAAGCTTAGATACCAGTTAACTATAAAAGGATTTAGGGGGAGTTGCTTCAATTTGTGTGAGAGGAGATCGTGTTTCACACTATCAAAAGCCTTGCTGAAATCCATAGCGAATAGGCGTACCGCTTTGCACTCTGGGATATCAAGATATTGATTGACAGTATGTTGGATAGTCAGTAGAGCATTGGTACAGCTCCCTCCCTCTATGTATGCAAACTGTGAGATCCCAGAATGTTCATCGAAGGTCTCCCTTGCGTGTGTTCCTAAGACAGCTTTCTCAAAGCACCTTGCGATGACAGGTGTCACATTTATTCCGCGGAAGTCTGATATTCCCTTAGGTATATCAACCTTCGGCAAGGGGTACAGGTCTGACTTTTTCCAAGAGACAGGCCAGGCGTGTGTTCTAAGAGACAGATTCCAAATCCAGGTGATCACTGGAACGAATAGCTCGGCGTGGTCTTTCCATATAGTATACGGGATGCCATCTGGTCCGGTTGCTGTTTTCTTTATACGCATAAGAGAATTCAGGACTTGTCGCTCTGAGATTTCTGGGACTTCCTGATCTTCACTAATCTCCAGAGGTGTTGGCTTTCTGTAGGCGTGGTCAGTACATAGGTCACCAAAGTAGTCATTTAACGCGTTGAGTTCGTAGTGGCCAAGAGATAGAGAAATCACCGGCTTGCGGCGCTGAGATGTTTTATCCACTTTTTTCCACCAATCCCGAGTTCCAATAGAGGCGATAAAGTCCCTTCTGTTTCTGAAAATGACTTCAGAGATCCTTTTATTCATAACTTTAAGACGGTCTAGATTACTGAGTGATATGCGTGATTTGGCTCGTATCATCGATCGAACGAGCGGAGTCATCCAGCCCGGGTCTCTTGAAGACATGCGCACTGTTTTCAGAGGCATGCAGCTATCCAGGTGCCCTAGGATGGTATTTTCGAGCCTACCAACCACTTCATCGACATCAGTTTCCTGTATCATATCATCCCAGTTTTCCTTCGCCAACGCGATATACAGATCACGCTTTCTATGAGCCCTTTGGTCACGCACGTATACTTTACGGCGGATAGGTGGAAGCTTTATACCGGGTGGTAAAATAACTCCCATGTGATCCGTCTTGGAGAGCATGTGAAAGGGATAGCACTTTGAAAAGAGATCCGTGCGGTTCGTGAAACAGTTGTCCAAACAAGAATTCCCTCTGGTGGGGAAATTAACCAGAGCATTCCAACCAGACATTTCTTCGAAGCGTTTGATATCCAGTTTGTTGACATCGCCACCGCACAACACAACTGTTTGTGGA